TGTACAAGGCTTGCCTGCTGAAGTTGCGGCAGACAACGACACGACCGGCTACGCAGAAACAAGGTCAAACGGTTCAACCAGGGAGCAGGGGATCTTTTTGGCCTTACCTTGGTGGGAGCAGCCACGCGAGGCTTAAATCTGAGTGATGGCCTCTCTGCGGCGGCGGAGGGAGGTGGGAGCCTAACCCTACCGCAGGTGAGCCGCGGAGGGGGAGGGGCTAGGCAGGAGGTGGACGACATGCGTGTTCGGTAACCCGCCGAACCGATTTAGGGCAGGAGAGAGGGGCTTGGGCAAGGAGGCGAACGGCGCAGCGCGACTCCGGCGACGTCGAGGCGGGGACCAGGATGCGGGCGAGTGCGCGTGCAGGCCACAGCAACGGTGGGGGCGCGGGCGCACCGGCGGCCGGCTGGTAGGGCGACGAGGGGGGAATGCGAGCGAGCATGCGCGCGGTGAGGACTACCTACAAGATAAGACGTAATTTGGTTTCATTCACCTGGAAAATAAGAAAGGATACAACCCACGTCAGCACACACGCATCTTATAGCACCACATTCAATGGCTATAAAAGATGAATGAGACCAAATTAAATCTCATCTAGATAAGTTCTAGCAAAACTGTTTCACATTCACTTGTGCATCAGTTGATATCTATGCCGATGTGTTTTGTGTTTGTTGATCCGATCAATCCAAACCATCCAAATTTTACACTCTTAGGCCTCCTTTAGTTTGTAGGAATGTCATAGAATTTCTATAGGATAGAATTTGTATAGGGAAAAAAAATTTGAGACCTTTTTTTTTTAGAACGAAGGTTTTAGAGGAGCCCGGCTTTAAATTAACAAAGCCATCAACCGGCCAAGAATAGTAATACAAGCGCGAAACCAACACAAGAAAACAGAAAAGCGACAAGGTACAAAGACGCTGGACAGAGCTCACAAGCCTCACACACACCAAGCTAAATAAGATCGAACATGGAGACACGCAGCTTGGAGATGTGTAGGTCCTCAATCGCGTACGGGTCACCAAGGAAGTAGGAGAATGTCAGCACAGGAGTAGCAATTCCGACGGTGAGGAAGGACACGCCGTCGCCAAATCGCCAGCGGCCCCGACATGCCATGACCTCCCAGCTCCACTGTCAAAGAAAGCCCCTGCCTCCTCGCCTGGATCGAAGGCGCCGAACCGTTGACAGTGTCGCGGTTCACCCTAGAACCTGGGAGGAAGGACACCGGCAGGCTGCATCTGGAAAAGGAACCGAGCGCACCCGACAAGCCACGGAGCGCTGACCTGGAGCAGAGCACCACCAAATCCATGGACTGGACATGAATGAGAAAGAGATGCCGGAATGGGCGGAGAAGAGCAGTAGCGGCCAGCTACCTCCGCCGCTGCACACCCACCACATCGCCGAGCAAGCCCAATGCCCACCTAGCTCCCAAAGACGGCGCCTTCAGGAAGGAACGCGACGCCAAGGGCGCCGCCGCCGCCCAACAGAGTTGTGGTTTTCACCCGGGAGACTAGAGGGCAAGGGGGCAGTGGATCTGACCTGAACGGCGCCTCCAAGGAGGGGAGGGGCGCCCTCGAGCGTCGCCGCCGCCAAGACCGGCGAGGCCGGCCTGGGATTTCTCCCGGTCTTCGAATCCACGACACCCATACCCTAACGGCGCGAGACCTGGTGGCCCGCAGAGGAGCAGGCTGGATCTGGCCGGGGAGGAGCTCGCCAAACAGGGGAGGCAGGGGCGGCCAGATCTGGCGCTGCCGATCTGCCGCTGCACCACGCCACCCGTCCTCCGGTTCACCCGCCGTCCACACGGCCAGGTTCGCCGGCCCACGCCCCCGCCACCGCCTGTCGCAGGGCCGATGACGTCTCTCCGACAGGGCCGCCGCCCCGGGGACCTCGGCCCCCTGCAAAAGAGGCAGGGCAGCCAGGGCCCCGCCGCCACCTTCCTCGGCGGCGCCCCGGGCTTGCCCGGCGGCGGCCTCAGGCGGCGGCGAGGGGGGAAGGGAGGGGAAAAGGAGGCGGCGGCGCTAGGGAGGGGAGGGAGTCCGGGCCTCTTTGAGGCCCTTTGATTTGTAGGAATGAATTCCTATTCTTATATAGGATAGGAATCAATCCTTCACATCTTGAAGGAAAAAAAACATTAGCTAAAACTCAATGGAAAAATTTCTATCCTATGCATCAAATGACATCTCTTTCTCTGTAGGAATTGAGATGCATGTCATCTCACTTCCTATGATTTTCCTATTCCTACAACATATCTATCCTATGAACCAAAGGAGGCCTTAACATAATTGGCCACGCAATGACTATCCCCGCAATTGTGCAATTATTCTCTTTCTTTTATCAAATATATATCCATTTTATTTTGCACCTTGCATTGTTGTGCACGTTGAACTCTAGTCGCCTTCTCTCCTTATATGTGCATACATACTGTGTTTCGCATGATACATACTTTCCTCTTTGGTTGTATATGTCTACATAAGTTTTATGACAATGTATCTCTGCTCTTATAAAAAAACAGAGTTAATAATGATGATGTGTCTGCCATCCTGCAATATAGGATGTCCAATTTATATCTGACGAATATGAAGGAAACTATGACAATTTTGCAAAAAGATACCCACACCCTTCTCTAGATTTGCAAATAAGGTCTTTCCTCGTTCATTCTTTTCTCCCACAAGATAAACTACTCATACAAATGTATCTTGATGTTCCGTGCAACGCACGAGCATCTTGCTAGTAATAGTATTTGTGTAAAATCATGTGTAGCAACACATTATACGATTGCCAGTAATTATGAATGTCACATGGCTAATGTACGTAGATGGTTTAACCATATGGCAAACCTGGCGATGTGTCCAAATCTGATAAATACATGTGTTTTCAATTGTGCATTTTTCTTTAGTTGGATAGTTGAGTAGAGGTATAAATGCTCAAAAAAATTATAGGGGCGTTCATGGCATCCATGGTCCATGGAACACTCCTGTACGTGTATGTAACCGTTGGGTGGTGAAGGCGGTGAGATAAATTAGTAATATGATCGACAAAATACAAATATAGACCTAACAACCATTCATACCGTTTATCGACTACTTCAACATATGGGTGCAGCACCTTCCTTCGGGCAACGTTTTTTCAGAGTACCACCAGGTTGAAAGAAATCGCTTAGCACGAGTTCTGTTACAGAACCACAAAGCAGTTGACATCATCCTATTTGGCCAAACCATTAGTTTTTTAGAAACTTTGCGCTTTTAGTCTGATTTCTTGTTGTATTGTGTTGAATTGTTTTTAGATTTATTGTGTAAAAAGTGTGGATGAAAAAAAATTGATTAGTCAGATGACAAAAATAGACGAAGCTAATTAGACAAACGGAGTCATCGACTTATAGAAGCAATTTTCCTATTGTTTTGTACCTCAACATTTATTGAAGGAATTTATCACACTTCTTTTATTCAATAGTGTTTATCAAGGGAATTTCTCTAACGTTTTGATCCCAAGGGCTTCACTTAGAGCTTAAATTCAGGAGAATCTATCCAATGCGGTTTGTTCCTCTACACTACATGTTTTTGGAGGTTTTTCTCGATCGTCATCATCATGAGCTATGCATGCCAATGACGATAGGTTTGGCTGTGGTTTCGACAAGAATTTTGAGACATACTCCATTTCTCAGCTGTAATGAGCTATGATGTTGTCCGTGTTTCTTGGAGTGCTATTTTGATTGTAATTTCTCTTTCCCTTGCTTAGGCCTTTTCTCAGCTGCCCCATTTGTAACCGATGTTTCAGCTAGATTAAAAAAACTCAGCAATGCAGGGCCTTGCGTCTCCTCCGTCGGTCGATTAGATCGCCTCCTCCAGGATGATGGTGTGGCCATTTTCACGCTTCCCCGTTTCGGACTTTCTGAACAAGATACTCCCTCTGGCTGCCCTACGTTTTCCTTCATTAAACAGCGACCACAACCACTCAATTTTCCAAGCCACAACAGCAGCGGTTTCCTTATCAGTTATGTAGATGTAGCACCTCCAACTATCAGCTATTCTGGGTTACTATGTTCTGCTACCTAGCTTGTGGTGTGGCCACACTGCCAGCATTCATAGACCAACACGGGTGCAACACTTTGATTGACGCCGTTTTTCTACGGACAGGATGTCAGTAACCTGACCTTGTGCAGTGCTAGTGATTTTAGTCCTACCTTAGACATGGGAGGAGGCTAGGAGCTCCTTATAAAGGAGAGTGCCACATTCCTTTTAGGTCAGTCTTTTGGGATGTAGTGAGCTCTTCGCTTGTACTGGAGTGTCCGATGCGCACGGAAAACGTTCAAACATATGCTGATGGACCGGGAGCTAGGCCTAGACTGTTAACAAGTGGTATCAGAGCTGGGCCCCACGCCACCCTAAAAGGGGCTTCCCTAGGGGGGTGGGATGTCAGGAACGTGACCTTGGGCAATGCTAATGACTTTAATCCCACATCGAATATGGAAGGAGGCTAGGAGCTCCTTATAAGAGAGACTGCCACATTCCCTTCAGGCCGGTCTTTCGCGATGTAGTGGGCTCTTCGCTTGTACTGAAGTGTTCGATGCGCACCGGAAACGTCCGAACATATGCCGATGGACCGAGAGCTGGGCCTAGGCTGTTAACACAGGAAACCAGAGAGGAACATGACACGCAGCAAAAGAGGCGATGGTCCAATCATACATGGCAAATGATGGTGTCAAATACGCATATCCAATCCAAACACAAGATCAAAAGGTAAAATACGCCCGACACAGCATGCAAAAAAAATCTTTGAACTATTGCAACCTTTATTTTGATTACACCGCAGTTCAATAAGATAAAAATCAAGCAAACCCCAACATTGGCAGCCTTGCGGGTCTCAGCACGCGTGGCCTTTCGTTTCAGTTGTACATTATTCAGTTTGACTCAATTTACTACAATGTTTTTGTAACTCGTTTGCCAACATCTAGCTAACTGATTGATGGGCATTTATACATTTGCAGAAAAAACATCCCCATGTTAATTATCGGGAGAAAAGAACCAAAGCATTTGATTCATCTCAGTTCGCAATCTACGCGGCACAAGCCATAGCTTCTGGTTTAGCTGTTTCCTCAGGTCTGCTGAGCACAAAAGCTGAGGTTAGTAACTGGTTAAATAAACAAACAAAATGAGATGAAGAACTAGTAAGAAACAAGTTGTATTTCCCATTTCCATAAAAAAACGACGCCTGAAGAAAATTGAATCTAGTTTTGTTTTGAATGGATGATAGACCATCAGTTAACGTATTATGTATGTATATATTAATGACACTGAGGTCAGTATGCATAACAAAAGAGATTAATCAAAAACGTTGTTAGAGATGGCGGTTGACACAAATTGTACCTCTCAATTCCTTCTCCAACTTCCATTCTGATAAAATTGCCAATTGTTACTTTCGAACCAACCTCCTTTGACAAATCATTCAGCAGAGTCTGAAAATAATGATACCAACAAGCAAAGCTATTAGAGATCACACAATTCACAGCCGTAAATCATCAAGGGAAAAGGTTGGCCAACTTACCTTAATGTTTGTGCTATCATTAACAACGTATTTTTGCTCCAAAAGCACGACATCTTCAAAATACTTCCTCAATCGGCCTTCCACCATTTTCTCTATGGCCATTTGGGGTTTACCTGAACTCTCAGCCTAACGTGTTACAAAGCAGTATGTCATGTCATTTCTGAAGTAACTTGGCATGCACAGCTCGCCCTCATATTATGTGGATCCATGTCATAAAACATACTAATTCAACTCATGGAAATAAGCAGTGTAAGTGCTACCCACTTCTAAAACTTATAAACCAAACAGCTGTCCCGATATTACTAATCCAAAAATCACCATATTATGATACAATCAGGCTGCTTCCCGTTACGTCATCTTTCTCATCTCCGCAACACACATGCTTCTTTCTTTTAATCTTTTAATCCAAAATCTTACGGCGATGCATGCATCTGCTTATCCTTAATCATTCCCTACTTTGTAAAATTGTTTTGTTTGTTCTGTCAAAATGGTAGAGAACTTAAGAACCAGCTGATGGCCTGTGATAGACACATTTATCACACAAGTGCATGTCCATTTCTTGTATAATAGTGGATGGATGTCAACTACTCAGAGCATTACTAGTAGAGCCCTCAAACCCTCAAACCCCTAAAAATAACCGCTTTTTTACAGTTTTCGCCGAAAAAACGCCGTAGACTAGAACCTCTAAACCCTCAAACCCGTAAAAAAAATTAGAGGTCCAACCCTCAAACAACTTTGCAATCTGTAGAAGTAGGGGTTGAGGGGAAAATCGCCCCCCAACCCGCACTCCTCCTCCTCGCTCGCGCGGGAGCCAACCGCCTCCTCCTCCCGCTGCCTCCTGCCGCGCCGGCCATGGAGGGCCCCGCCGCCGCCGCGCCCCCGCCCGCCTCGCCCGCCCCCGCCCCCGCCCAACCGACCGTGGCCGACGTGGTGGCGGCGACCCACGTCGGGGCCAAGCGGCGGCGGGCGGGCCTCGCACCACCGTCACCGCCCCGACCACTGTCACCGCACCGGCGCCCGCCCTCGCCGCCTCCCTGCCGCCCGCCCCGGCCACCAAGAAGAGCCGGCCGAAGGCGGCCTCTCATGGGCCATGAGGGGCGGCCTCCAAGGTCGCCGGCTCGTCCCCGGCCGTGACCAAGCCGCGGAAGAAGCCCGCGGCGGCCGCAGTCGCCGAACCTCCTCCCGCCGCGCACGAGGTGTTCGAGGAAATGGCAAACCCATCCTCGTTCATGGACCTCCTCCAAAACGCGGAGGTGGACCTCGGAGCTCCGCCTCTAGACCCCTTTAGGGTTGGTGACGACTTGGAGGAGGAGGAGGAAGATGAGGAGGATGTAGGGGATGACGAGGAGGAGGTGGCCGAGATAGGGGAGGAGGCATTCACCGCCGCTTCCCGCCCACACGCGCGGTCGACAAACTACACCGAGGCGGAAGATGTCCTCTTGTTTCGTGCTTGGGCAGCTGTGGGAATGGATGCAACCACCGGCACCGATCAAACCGGTAAACGGTATTGGCAAAGGATCGAGGACGTCTACTGTAAGATCAAGCCGAAGAATAGTGGGTTCATCCATCGCTCTTTCCGGTCGCTTCAAGGCCGGTGGGAGTTGATCAAGCCCGCTTGTTCTCGTTGGAGTGCGGCCATGGACCAAGTGATAGATGCACCACCTAGTGGAACCGTGGAGAGTGACTATGTGAGTACATATTTCTTCACTATTTTGATTATGTGTGTGCACTATGCTATTGGTGGGTTCTTATGTGATTTATGTGTGGTTGATAGGAGACAATTGCCGGCATGAGGTACAAGGAGATGGCCGCTTCCAAGGGCAAGCCATTCCCGTTTAAGCATGTTTGGTCAATTCTTCAAACCTTTGACAAGTGGAAGTTGAGGGATCAAGAGACCGCACCCAAGAAGTCGGCAATGCTAAGGATGGATGATAGTGAAGATGAGGAGGAGAGGAACTTGGGCAAGCCCGAGGGAACCAAGAAGGGCAAGCTAAGGGTGAAGATGGAAGAAGAGGCGTCAAGCCTAAGGGAGAAGATGGACCACATGATGAAGGCAAGAGAGGAATTGACAACGAAGACATTGGAGACGAAGCTTCTTATCACCGAGAAGAAGAAAGAGGTCAAGCTTGCACAAGTTGAAGCAAAGCATGAAGAAGCAAAGCGCAAGGCCGAGTTGGAGGAGAGGATGATCAAGCTCAAAGAGGCAAAGGTATGGAAAGAACTCATGGTGGAAGAGAAAGAGCACATGATGATGTCCAAGAAGGACATGGATGAAGACCAATTGCAATGGTGGAAGGACTACAAGGAGGACATCGCGGAGAGGAAGAGGATGTTCCGTGTTGCGTCCTCTACTTTTCGAGGTGACACTCCGATGAGTAGTTGTGGTGATGGCGGTGTGTACGACTCCACCGGTGCCGATGGAGATGCTTGATGGAGCCCGCTTGTGGTCTAGGAGATGGCGCCAAGGTGCAACTCTTTGGTGATGGTGCCGATGAGAGGAGGAAGATGATGATTTTGTGATGTAAACTATTAAACCATGCATCAATGATTGTCATTTGGTAGTTTGTTTGGAAGTTGATTGTGTTCTTGTTGTCATAAATTGTGAGATGTCAAATGATAGATTTAAAGGTTGGGGTCGAGGCAAAGACTAGAACCCTCAAATCCAATCCTTAAAGCAGTTTAAGGGTTGGGTTTGAGGGTTCTAGTATTTGCCCCTGTTTTTCAACCCTTAAAAGTGTCAAAAAGTGGCACTTCTCAACCCTTAAAACTGCTTTAAGGATTTGAGGGTTGGAGGGTTCTACTAGTAATGCTCTCAGCCACACGACTATATGACTGTAAATCATTCTAGGTAACGTCAGAATAAGGTTACCTGAGTTCGGAGCACGTCACATTCATTTTCCAGAGCTGCAGCAGAAACCAAATCTTTTGATAAGAATAATGGTTTTGCTGCAACAATATGCATTGCGATAGACGACCCAACTCTCTTGAGAGCATCAAGGGAAGCACTGCTATCTTCTGCTTCTAATGTAATCAATCCAGCAATGCGGCCCAAACCTGAAGCAAGAAAATGCATCAATTAAGTGAACGAGCAAATGTGCCGTTTATCCAAAGCAAGGAGAAAATGGGGAAAAAAAAGAAGAGTGCTGACAGGAACAAATGCATAATACCGAGTTTGGTCATCTTAGGAAAGAGATTATTAGTAGGATTAATCTAACGTGTTAATTTATATAAGGAGTACAGAAACAAGGCTTCCCCGTTTTAGATCAAGTGTCATTTTCTTAATGTTGTACTGCTAGTACAAAATTCAAGAGTAGTTGTTGAAATTGCAATTTGTCAGTAGTATGGCTGCACGGCTATGTTTCTGCCAACAGTTCTGCAAAAGTAAACTAAGGCTTGTCTCCTGCTAGAAATACAATAAATACACAGTACTGTATGATATCCAGCTGTCTACAAAGAATGAAACGGTGATAAGAATAAATAGGAGACAAACATGCTCCAGCTGAAAATTATTGTTTGTAGTGTTTAATAATCATACTTAGCTAATGAAATAAAAAATCTGAAGAATGACAGACACATGGTCTGGATAAAACTTGACAAACTGAAATAACAATGTCTGCGCACCTGGCTGAGGACAGGTATGCAGATAAGATGAAACGACACCATGTGCAGTCGTGGACAACATGAAACCTCTTCTGAGTTTTACATTCTCCCCAACCATGGCAGCAACTTCTGTAACAGCATTTTGAACAGTTGTTTCACCACTGAGTTTAGGATGATCTAGGTTAATACTCATGTTCTGCAAAGATGAGGAGCAATGTAGTAGTTTCTCACATGAAAAAAACAGAAGAAAAAAAAGGAAGATAAACATATAATAATCTCAGCTGTATTGCAGACACTTCAATTTATATAGATCATCAGACATTATTAGCCTAAAATTTACTATCCATCTATGAAAAATAGATGCAGGCACTGCAAGGCACTACAGCTGAGAAACAGGCACCTGATTGTTCCAAAAGTAATGTAACATAAGCAAAACAGGAAATCCAACCAAAACCACCTGAAGTAATTTCATTTCGTTTCAGATGCTTTATGCTTGTCACCAAGCATTGCCTGTATAATTGAATATGATGACCCTCAAAAGCATCACCGCCACTCACCCATCCCATTCCTCACCAATCACAAATCAAATATACGACAAACTAGTCTCAGCATAGATGCACAAAGTCAACAGTGCAGGACATAAATAATCTTACTTGCACTGCTAAGGCTGCATCACCTTCATTACAGGAATTTCTGTTGGTGTTGTAAACCCCTTCATTTATACTATGATGTATTTTTTCACTCATGTTGCATTAGTAGATGCCATGTCAAGTTTATCATATCAACTCTTGTCAATATCTACAAAATTTCAGTGATACTAGGTCACAGCATAACACTATGACATCTCCATGTTCTTGATCAATGGTATTTTAGTACTTCAAGCAATTCACCAAACCGACTCCGTACATAATGAAAAGCTGATGCCCACAAGGCTTAGATGGTATTAGGCCCCGCCATAACACTATACACAAATTTGATCATAAAGCCAGTTCAAACGGAATATAAATCGATATAGAACTCCATCTAATTAAAATCCAATAATTTGGATTTGGTAGTCACGAGTCTAGAGCCATCACTGGTAGATATAAGCAACAATGCCATACGTCATGTACTGGAACTGCTCAGCAGGGGAAGATGATAGAAACAATAGATGTTCAATAAACTAAAAAACAGGTAATTACACACCTCCAAATATGCAGGAGCAAAAGGAAAAACCAATTTGCCGGGATCCTGTGCTGACAAAGCCATCTTTGCCAAGGATGAAGCCTGTATGGCAAATGAATTTTCGGGAAAAGGGTTATCAACATTGTATCAGTGTAAGAGCACAGAATCAATCGGCACATTTAATTAAGTACACTCTAGTGTTGTGTCCAATATGATACCAGAAGTAATTAATATCCTAGGATATAAAATGACATGAACAAAGTACTTCAAGAATACAATTACAACAGAGTTTGAAGTTGGAGTATCAGAAAAAAACTAGAAAGCTGATTATACACGGTTAGAACATTCTTATTTATGTTTGATATAACATAAGGTCCGACACAACATTTACTACTATTATGAAGGGGAATTGGTGGGTCCGTCATCCAACTCCCCTCACAAACCAGACACGTGGGACTGATTTTCTACCATCCGAAAAAACAATCGGCTGCCTCTGCTCCCATACCATGTGCGCTTGATTTTCTACCGTCCAAAAAAAAGGACTGCCCATTTAAAAATCGTATGAGATCTTAAAATCGGACGCATTGCCATCTTTTCCCAAAATTAAAATGATACTTCAAGTCATGGAGAAATGATTTCTACTTATGCCAACTAGCAATAAAATCATTTTATAATTTCCATATACTTATGTTAAGGATATGGACCTAAAAGGACCTTGTCTCTCACTCTTACAGGGTTTCAGTATAATTATAAGATAAAACACAGATCATGTTGCTGAGGGTGATACCGACCAGATACTGGAACACATCATTTCTTGCCACAAAGTCAGTCTCGCAGTTTAGCTCAACCACAACAGCCCTTTTCTCATCTTGTGCGATAGCTAGCAAACCTTCAGCAGCAGTCCTTGACGACTTTTTGGCAGCAGATATCACCCCTCTTTTCCTTAGATCCTTCTGTGCATCCTCTGAAAGAAACCAACAAACTGGGATAAGAATGGAGGGAATAAACACATTTGTCAACAAAGCTGCGCCTAAAGCAAGGAGAAAGAAGAGCTAACCAATATCCCAGTTGCAACTGACTAGCGAAGCCTTGACATCTTTGATCGGGGCACATGTTCTTTCGCGTAGTCGTTTAATAAGATTCATTTGCTCCGAAGCAGGCACCTCAGAGCTAAATCTCCTACAAATCATGCCATTTGGGGCAAAATGATTGCTCGACAGGTGAGTTTCGAACGTTGCAGAAGTATACCCTCGAGCAGCTTGTCGTTGAGCACGAGACAGAAGCCCTAGTATGGGCCTTCTAGCACCCTGACCCCAGGCCATTCTCGGATTGCTCTGCAACAAGGGCGGACAGACGCAATTCTTCAGAAAACTACACAGGCAACGCACATCACAGCAGCCAAATTCAGTTTTGGGTAAAAGACGATTAGGCGCCGCCGCTGCCAGATGCAGAGAGGATAGAGGGCGCCAAGCGCAGGGAGAAAGAGAGGAATGGAGCCCCACCTGCAGATACGCCGCTGCCAGCCGCCGTTCAACCGCCGCCGCCGAACGCCAGAGAGGGTGGGAGACTGGAGGCCGAGAGGAGGGTGCGCGCGGTAGGGTTTCGTAAGGGGTTGAACCAGGAGCAGAAAAAGGAAAAGAAAACCTTTTGATCTGGATGGATGGAAAAATGGAAAACCTTGGAGAGCACCGATGAGGCTGGTTGCTCCCCTTGGTGTGTCGCCCACACAACGTAATCACATAGCATATATTTTTTAGTGGATGAATTTTCGCAACCATGCATGTAGTCATTTTGTTAATTATTCATCAAGACTTTACAATGTAATACATCAATAAGTTTGAAGTCATCATCTTCGCAATATCGATCGCTACTCATATCAACTTGGTGAAGTGATTCAGATTGTCAGGACCACGTATCCCAGATCTCACACCAAAGTCCAACATCTAACACCGGAGACCCAACATCTAACGCCGAATTGTCGGGTCTGGGCCACACACCGGTCCGGCTCACTATCAGCGGGCACCGCATGCGCACACTGCAGAGGCCATCGCCACCATCTTCCATCAAATCTTCTTTAGAGCAGGTACTGACGCATCAACTTTACCAGGCCTGCCATCGACGCCAGACAACGCCACCTCCCTAAGCGTGTCGGTCATCACACACCCGTCGCCAAGACCCTGCCGTGCCATGCTGTCAAGACTCCATGTCGTCGATGCGTCACATGAAACGCCGCTCCACCTGCATCCTCCGCCCGGCTACTCTCTTCGTTCCAAAATACTCTCTATGTCCCATAGTAGAAGAGGTTTTGCAGTTCAACCGCAAAAACGTCTTGTATTTAGGGACAGAGGTTAAGTGTCATGGTTTTAGTACCGAAAAAGATGGGAGGTATGGGAACTAGAGATCTTTACAGCTTTAATCTTGCTATGTTAGTGAATCATTATATGCACATGTTCTTGGTGCAAAATACTATCCTGATGATGACATTTTGAAAGCCAGACCAAAGAACGGTTCATCATATACGTGGCCAAATATTGTTGCTGGAATCCAAACTTTTAAATAGGTTTTATTTGAAGAATTTGAACCGGTGAGAAGATCAACATATGGCAGGATCCTTGGATCCCCTCAAGTGTTAACCATAAGGTGATCGCTCCAAGGGGTCAAATTATGTTGACAGATGTAGAAGAGTCGGTAGACGTCTTTAGTCTGGTCGATGCACAATGTATATTGCAAATACAACTGAATGTACAAGATTGTTAAGATTTTGTCACGTGGCACTACAACAAATCGGGCACCTTCTTTGTCAAATCAGCAAATCATAGAGAATAGGAACACCCACATGGACAACGTCTCGAACCAAATTATGGTTGAATGTTAGAAGGACGATGGTATCTTTAGTCCACTAGGGTTCAAGTCATGATTATACAGGAAGGGTTGACTTCTCATGGTATATTTGATTTCAGACTTGCCAGTTTCTCCAGAACGTCATGATTATTTGGATTCGTTCCCCGTTGGCGCAGCCATCCAGAAGATGAAACATCCACTCTGTTCTTGTGTTGGTGATGTCGTCTACACATGCCATGCTCCATGTTTTTGCCATCACCATCCATAGGGCACGCACCCTTTGTAACGCCCCGAGACCGATGTGCCAGGTGTCGTCCAGTTATTCGCTGTTGTTGCCTTGTCTTTGCTTGCGTGTCATGCATTGCATATCATGTCATCATGTGCATTTCATTTGCATACATGTTCATCTCATGCATCCGAGCATTTTTCCCGTTGTCCGTTTTGCAATCCGGCGCTCCTATGTCACCCGGTGTCCCTTTCTACCTCTTTTCGTGTGCGGGTGTTAAATGTTTTCGGATTGGACCGAGACTTGTCATGCGACCTTGGTTTGCTACCGGTAGACCGCCTATCAAGTTTCGTACCATTTGGACTTCGTTTGATACTCCAACAGTTAACCGAGGGACCGAAAAGGCCTCGTGAGTGTTGCAGCCCAACACCCTTCCCATCTGGCCCAAAACCCACCTAAACCTCCTCCATCATCTCGGTCGTTCGATCACGATCGCGTGGCCGAAAACCGCACCTCATTTGGAGTCTCCTAACTCCCTCTACCTATATATATGTGCTCTCCTCGGAAAATTCCGCGCAGATCAAACCCTAGTCTCCCTCCTCCTCACGCCACCGGACATGTCCGCTCCGCCGCCGGACGCGTCCACTCCGCCGCCACATCACCCGGACCAATCGCGCGCCGCCACCTCAGCCCCGTCGCCGCTCTCCTCCAACCCGCGGCCGCCACCTGTCCCAGCCGGCACCCCCGCCGCACTGGCCCGCCGCGGCCCAGATCCAGCCCGCGGGGCCCGGATCCGGCGCGCCGCTGGCCCGCGCCTGCACCAGCGCCCCGCCTCCTCGCTGGCGTTCGCCGTCCGCGCCGCCAGCGCCCACCTCCGGCGGTCGGAATCCCGCCGCTCCGCCACCTGAGCTTCCCCGGCCACCCAGCTCGCCGTTCGCCGCCGCTTGGTCCATGAGCGCCTTCCGCGCCGAGGTCGCCGCCCCGTGCCTCGCCGGAGCGCCCCTGCCTCGCCGCCTTGGCCCCGGCCACCGCCACCGACCTCGCCATCGCCATCGCCATCGCCGGCGAGCTCCCGCGCCGCCTCCTCCATCGCCGGTCGCCGTCCCGTCGCCGGATCCGGCCGGTTGGACGAGATCCACCGGTCCAGGCCCCTCCCGATCCGGATCCGTGTCGTCCCGCTTCTCTCCGGCCCGCGTTGACTTTCACGGAGGTATAATTTCACTAAGTCCCCGAAATTCCCAGATTCACATGCCCATGTTCATCATGTCATAATTCATCATCCGTAGCTTCGTTTTGGGCGTGTAGCATATCAAAATGTTCTTCTGAGAGAGCTCATCATTTCATCCCATTGCATCATTTTCTTTTGAGTTCATCTTGATGCCCGAAATGCTGTTGGAAGAGTGCTATTTGAGATAATTGTCAGATCTGCTGCTCCAATTAGCTATTTATCATTTTTGCCATGATTATTGTGTGCATGATATGCTCCTGATCTCTACATGTGTTTTGTTATATGCTTTGCCATCTTTCCAGAGGTGCTTACCATGTATTTTTGTGATATGTGTGGTGACTAGCACAAGCTTGCAAAGTAGTGCATTCGTTAATGCTGATTTCAGGGACTTGGCAATTCCACTAAGTCCTTGACCTGTTTTTATCTATATGCCATATGTTCATGTTGGTTCCTAGTGATCTGTGCCTCTTTTGAGGATGATCAGTAAGGATGATTTGTTAATCTTGTAGTGCTCTATCCATCCATGCCTTTGTTTGCAATTATGGAGCACCCTAGCTTGAGTCAATCGAGCTCTACTTTTGCTATTTCGTGAATCTGGGCAGATTATCTACTTGTTAGCGATTGTGCCGAGGACGTTTTAGTTGATCCGTGCATGCTATGTTATTGTTCTTGCCAAGTCTAGCTTGCATAAGATGTATTCTTGATGGGTGCATGCTTAGTTTGTCATGACATGCTCTGTAGTGAGTGCATCGAGCTCGTAAACATGCCTACTTGATATCTGATTTGCATGCTCCAGTTTTTCTCTAAGTCTGTGATCTGTTTATGTTTTTGCCATGTTCACATGCTTGCAATTGTATTTTCTGATCCCTTTTGGCTCAAGGTCACTAAGGGACTTTTGTTAAGCTCTTTGAGTAGCTCCATGCCATGCCTTGCTTTGCCATGTTAAGTTCCTGTAGCATATAGTTTTCATGCTCCAAAGTGTGCTACCTGATCTGAAATTCCAGACTTGTGTTAATTTCACTAAGTCTGAAATCTGTTTACCAATTGCACTTTTGCCATGCTTGTTTGAACCTGTTAATGGATGAATTAGCCGTAGCTCAGTGTTCATCTTTTGTCAAGCATCATGAGTGGATCCCTGCCATGTATTTTGTTGCCATGTTTGAGTGATGTAGCATTATTATCTTGATGCATTTAGATGGCTACTTGCTGTTTATCGCAGACCGACGCCATATTTGTTTCGCTTGCCATTTCCAAACCGTGTCTCCGATTCCGGTGTTCTTTATATCGTTTTCAAGCGAAATCATCTCACCTTTCTAGTGGCACACTTGGATTTCCAATTTGAGGCCAGGTTCATTCATTCCTTGTCAAATCTTGCATATGCATCGCATACCGCATCTCGCATATCATACCATGTTCATGTGTGGTTTGTTTACTATGTTGTGTGCTTCTTTCAGGTGTTTGCTCCTTCGGGTTGGTTCCGGTAACATCGCGTTTGTGAGGACCCGTTCGACTACGCCTGTTTGTCTTCTTCATGGACTCGTTCTTCTTCCTTGCGGGATTTCAGGCAAGATGACCATACCCTTGAAATCACCTCTATCTTTGCTTGCTAGATGCTCGCTCTTTTGCTATGCCTATGCTACGATACCTACCACTTGCTTATCATGCCTCCCATATTGTTGAACCAAGCCTCTAACCAACCTTGTCCTAGCAAACCGTTGTTTGGCTATGTTACCGCTTTGCTCAGCCCCTCTTATAGCGTTGTTAGTTGCAGGTGAAGATTGAAGCTTGTTCCATGTTTGGAACATGGATGTTTTGTTGGGATATCACAATATCTCTTATTTAATTAATGCACCTATATACCTGGTAAAGGGTGGAAGGCTCGACCTTATGCCTGGTGTTTTGTTTCACTCTTGCCGCCCTAGTTTCTGTCATATCGGTGTTATGTTCCCGGATTTTGCGTTCCTTACGCGGTTGGGTTATAATGGGAACCCCTTGACAGTTCGCTTTGAATAAAACTCCTCCAGCAA